TCCCAAATACAGGAGAAAAAAGAAAAAAATCAGTCCAGAGGCAGCATGCGTGCCGTACAAACTACTCTTTTGGGGAGAGTTCCCAAGCAAAATACAGTTATTATGGGAAAGCAGTAATGCTCAGCCAACCTAGCAGTGCCAGATGTAATTCTCTATTCATTTCCCCTGATAAAAGGAAAAAACAACAACAAACCCCCAAAGATTTTAAAATAACTCTTTACCATTGTATTTTCAGTGCTTCAGCTATTGATTCCTACATCCTCCGATACATCCCTTTGTGGGCCCTATTCTTATTACACGAGTCTACTAAGAATCGGTGAGGCAGAGGAATGTTTATGTCTCTGCTATGAGAGGCCTTTGCACACTATCCCACGATCAGTCAGTACACCTTGTGCGTTGTCCCTCACATATGGCCCACAAGGAAAATGAGAGCCCATTCTGTGGTTTCCTTTTTAGTAAGTGGTACGAAGTAAAGAGGGACAGAAGAACAGCCAACTGTGCTCTGATCTGGCGGGAAGCCTGTGCTCACAGCGGTCCAAATTGTCAGCTGTCTGAAACGTTTTAGTACCAATCAGGCAATCTCTTTGTAGGAAAGCTTTAAAAGGAAAGTGAAAGATTCCAAGGGGCAGGAAAAAATGCCTGTGCAACAAGTCACAAAACAAAAATTGCTTGTAGGGCAGTGGAAAACATTGTTTGTAGGGCAATGGAAAACAAAACTCGGTAGCACCTCCAGCTTTTATGTTATATAGGAGAGAAGAATTAAGAGCTTTTTTTACTTAGGTTTATAGAAAGAATAGGTTTTACAAACCTGAAACCCAAGGGAGTTTACCAATGAAGAATGGAAAAGATGGCCAGAAAAATGGGCAGCAGAACCACACAGCGATGGTGCAGCCCACAGTTTTTTAAAGCATTCTTAGCAAGCTCCAGAAGCAGTGACATTTCCACACACGTCTTCTTCAAGACGATGCAGCTCTTGCTCTAGCAGGATATCACAGCTTTGCTCAGTCTCAGAAATACCATGCAGGTCTGCAGCCCAAATCCCCACCTGGCATAGCTCCATGCAAGTCATCATTTTACCCTGTTCTCCTTTCACACAGTGTTTGGATTGCTGGTTTTTGATTTATGACTGTATGTTTGTATTTGGCTGTTTTTCTCCCAGTGTGGGGTCTCTGCTGACTATATGAGCTGGCTGCTACAAACCTGAATTGCAGCTAGGAGGAGGGCTGGGCATATAATTCCCTGCTGGACTTTTCTTACTCTTTCACCTAAAAAGATGTCTCAGATGAAACAGGAAAGAAACGGGAAACCTCAACTGGCACAGTGTGGTTCAGATTATTTTATCTGTTCACTGTGAAAACCCTGCTTCTGCATGGGATCATAATTAGAAATGAGCCAATGGTCATACATGTGTTATTAATGCAACTGTGGCTTTAACTACTATTGATAGTGTGGGGGGATGTAGTAATAGGGGTGACTTCCATGCAAATGGTGTGAAAAGCACAGCTTCTTAGACATGTAAACCAATCAGAAAACACCCCTGCACATATTTCATAATTACAAACACTAATATTCATCATCTCTGTCATTATGCAACAGGCTTTTAGTAGTAGACCCAATAGCACAAATAAGGTGGAACTAATGCCTGTTGTAAGAAAATGCAGTTCAAGTACAGGTAGCCTAGGCTAGACTCCTACTCACGTTGCTCTGAAAGCAACAGTCTGGAATGAAAGCCCTTAAAAAAAACCCTGAAATCAATGCTTTTCAACTCACTGGGAGGTGCTTAAAATGCATGTGTTAGTTCTGGTCTAAAAGATTTAGGGAGTTACTTCTGATGGGTAAAAATAGACTACAGAAAACCTAAAATGCCTTAATTCTTTCATGTAGACAACTGCCAAGGTTCAGGCATGAGAGCAAGTTTTATTGTTTTGATCTTCAGTTCAGTAAGGGCAGAAATGCCATTCAGCTGCCATCTGAATTGCTAAATTTTGGTTTGATTTCCAAGTCATCCCTAAATCCAGTCCAAATTGTCCTCTGGATTTTATCACTCTCACTGAACAAATCATTTAGAAGTCTACTGTTGAGAGGTTTCCAACACTCATATTCAAAGCATTTGACTTCAATGTGTCCCAGAACAGGAATGGCGTAGAACCTGACCTTGAGAGGTTTCAAAGGCATGCATTTCCTTTTTTTTATGAATGAGAGATTATTGCTGCCAGCATTTCTGAGGTTGCATTCAGAAGCAATCTATGTTGACAGCCCAGTTAAAAATACAACATACACAGTTCCAAAACATCCACTGTAGCCCTACAAACTCATTTGTTGTTTTACGTATTTTATGCATAAATGTTAGTACATTTACTTGGTGACATATTTTATGTAACCAGCTCCCTTCTGTAAATAATAAGCTTTCAGGCATTCAGAGATTCTGTTTTCAAGAGGGTCAGGAGCCTTTCTGATGTTCTAAATTTTCAGTAAATGATACATTTGATAAAGTAAGATCTCTATGCTTTGTTTCTATACTTGTTGACAGCCTTGTGTCACAAGCTTTGCAAGAGATCTACCCCCACCATCAGAGGATAAACTGATTTCTCAAGGACTTAGTGCTTCACTAGGGAATGCTTGGAACTGGTCTTCTCGTCCTTTTAGAGTTTTTATCATATAAGCTTTTGTTCTGTGTTTGGTTTGTCATTTCTGACTGCTTTCATATGTGATACATATCAACAGACATAGTAGGAAAGTTATTTACAGCCAAAAAATTATCTTCAGCTTTATGATTCCAGTTGTATAAAGTGTATGATTTCATATGCAGAATTGTATCTGTACCCTGACTTACACATTTAGGAATGTTTTAATTGTAGGTGAAATACTTCTGACACCATAGTAGTTCTGTATGGTTTTGCTATAGCATGTTCAGGAGTGAGGGTGAACATGTGAATTCTTGGAGGAAAAAATCTTCACATTCCCACAAGACCGACAGCTGAAATGAAGAGGGGTGTATTTAAACAACACTGTACAGAACTATCGGTATGTGTGGGAGTGTGCATGCCTCTGTGTGTGTGTCCCCATATAAATTCCTGCATTTTGACTCACACTATTCCTTGTCCTATTGGTAATTTTCATTCTGAAATATTACTGCAGTAGTGCCTCAGCATTAATGAATGCTGTCAAACGTCCCCTTCTAGGCGCAAGAAAAGACGTCTCTCTCCTGGTTCCGTATAACATCCATTAGTAGTATCTCTGCAGTAATATTTTACTAGGTGGCAATATTTCCTACCCTTGACAATACTAAGAACTCTGCATCCTTTATTCCACCTTAGCTGCTAGTTATGTTCTGCTTGCCGAACAAGTTAATACAGTTTTCTTATTCCCATTATTTTTCTTCTTACCTGCTTTTAAGTCTTTTGCTGTTTCAAAGATTGTCTTCCTTCTTTCTTAAATGATGGCTGCACCAGTGCTTCACACGCTGTGCTGTGCACGTGGCTTGCTGGTTTGACTGCAGGGTTTGGTTAGCTTGACTGCTACATACATATAACCTAGTCAACCTTAGGACAGTACATTTGAAGGACAGATTTCATTATACATTCCTTCCATCCCATTATCTTACCACTTTATCTTTGGGTTTTTTTTGCAGAACTGAACAGTTTTTAGAGATAACTTAATGATGGGATGAACTATGTCAGACAGATTGCTTCAAATTACAATTATTAGAAATCCAGCTTAACAATCTGCACTTTAATAATTCATCATTGAAGAGCCCTTATTTTAAGCTTTTCTTAGAAATGCCATTTCTCTGACATGCACGTAACTTGGGAGAGGACTGATAAATTCAGTGATTTTTACCTAATGTTTTCCCCTCTTATTGAGGCACAGGGCTGTCTGTCTATCCAGTGTCTCACAGCTGCAGAAATCTTTATATGGCACTATCAAGGTGCCTGAAATAGTTGAATTAGAGTAATTCAAACAGTTCCTAAGAACGGCAGATACTACCCGCAATGTACACATGCCTGACACACATCTTTTCCATAAAACTACTTAGTTTGTATTGAAAAGAAACAGAAGTGTTTGTCTTCTGAGGTTATAAAATTCATTCGGAACAGAGTAGAGTCAATAGATACAATTTACACCTGCCAAGGGCCTGGCTTCATCTTGGGTATCTTGGCCGAGTTTGAAAACTGCATGTTTTCTAGAAACATCAAGAACAATAAAAAGGCTTCAGCAGTGGGAAGCCACTGGAAACCACAGAAACCCAAGCTTGCCTCTCCACTTCAACACAGCTGTGTTGCTCAGGTGGTAGAGCCCAGCCTGTGATGGCACCCTTCAAATGCTGCTGGGGGATTGCTGGGATTGCAGTTGCTGCTCTCTCTCAGCATCAATCACACCTTTGCTCTGCTGCCTGCTAATGGTCCTCTGGTTGTTTGTAAGTATGTGTGTATATTCCTATAGTGATATATAATAAGCAATAATACCCACATGCATATATATATCTGTACAAATAGTCTTGTCTTCCAGCTTGGCCTCTGAGTTGGCAGAAGCAGTAGAAATGAATGGAGTTCAGGTTAATTAACAGTGGGTCATTAGTAATTGTACAGGCTTTAGAGACTGCTTGAAGATGAGCTCCTGGTTCATGGGTACCACTTATTGAATTCTTTTTAGCCATTTGTCTTTCTCTTTCTTACTAAATCTTAGTAAATGAAGTAATTCTGGTTTTGAAAAGAACAGATGTGACCCATCTGAGGGAAATTATCAAGATCCCAAGAAAGCTGAAAATTACTGGGAGTGCCTGGGAGTGTGTGCTTGCCGGCCAATGCTCTGCAGTTCCCAGTACCCAGACAGTGAAGGAATAAACACAGGAACTCTCTTCTTACTATAGTAAATTGAAAGGAGGGGTCTTGTCCTGTGCTTTGAAGGTTAGCAACCCCCAAAAGGGGCCAACAAGCCAGAATCTAGTGCAGGGGTGGGCAGAAATGCAAAATGGTTTATTTTTCATAGCTTTTACATTAGTTCTTAGGTATGCCCTTTCCACAGAGCTCTCTTTGCTCCTTTATGCATGCTTACTTTTAGGGTGCAGTTTCCTGACTTTCCAAAATGCATAATTATTTTCTAAAAGAGGAAACAGAACCCCATTTGTTTATCACAGGGGCTAGAACAAGCTCCCAGAGTCATTCTTGGGTAGATAAATACAGAAGCTAAGTACAATTAGGTAGGGGAAAAGACTGAGTATTTATCTTCTTACCTGAGAGACTGATCATTGTCAAACTTTTATGCTTTCTTGCACAGCTTTGCAGGCATACATTTGTACGGAAGAACAGTTGTATAGCTCCCTTACAGCTACTTTAATGTGTACTACCAATAATATATATCATGATGTTTCCATGCCTTGGAAAACCTGCAAGCAAGGGTAAATTTCACTGTAAGACTCCAAGATTTTCATTTTCTTGAATTACCAAAGTGTGTTCACACCAAGTTAATGATGCAGAAAGTGAGCTGGAGAGCTCAAGGACTCAGTGAGACAAGCGTTCCCAGCATCCCCAATGAAATCTGTGGCATCTCCCCTTTCTCCTTAGGGTACTTCATGTAGTAGGCAAGTATTTGCCTTACACATTCAATGGTGTTTACAGTGGGGTTTTGTTTTGATTCACCTAACCAAATGTGTCAGGATACCTTTATATAGAGCACTCTACTTGTAAACTCTTCATGCTAGTCTCCGTTTGTAAAAAACCAGTCAGTGCTAGGGTAATGGTAGTCAACTGATCTCTCTTAGACACCTACCTCAAGATGAGGTGAATCATGCTCCACAAATAATGATTCCTTTCCACTGAGTTTAAAACTCAAGTTTTAAAAATCCTGTCATTAGAAAATACACATATAAAACCATAAATAATTGGGAACTTTTAGAATCATAGACTATCTCAAGTTGGAAGAGATCCGTAAGGATCAAGTCAAACTATCATTTCCCCATCCACTGCCCCCCTTGAGGAAGCTGTAGACTGCAATGAGGCCACCCCTCAGCCTTGTCTGAGCTGAGCTGAAAAGCCAAGTGGCCTCAGCTGCTCATCAGAATTACTGCCCCTGAAGCCTTTCACCATCTCCGTCACCCTTCTCTGGATACAGTTTGACAGTTTGATGTCCTTATATTGAGGCACCCAAAACTGCACACGGTACCTGTGGTGGGGATGCCCCAGTGCAGTGTAGAGTGAGACAATCACCTCCCTTTGGCCACCTGTCTATGCTGTGCTTGATGCACGGTTGGCTCTTTTGGGGGGCAGTCTTTTCATGCTTCCTTTTTCTTGCTTTTATATTTTGTCCTTGTTGATGGTAAAAGGTAGACATAAAAGGGGAGAGAAAGTTAAAATCTTCTGAGCTATCCATGAAGATTACTTTGCCACTCTTAGTTTTTAAGGTTTCTGAGTTACCGTTTACTTTTTATTCTTCCAATTTATTTGGAAGAGCTGAGATAGGAAGGGACCTCTGAAGGTCGTCTTGTCCAACACCCTTGCTTGAGCAGGGTCATCCTAGAATAGGTTGCCCTGGACCATATCCAGTCTGATTTTGATACACAAAGATGGAAACTCTTACAGTTGCCTGTTCACTGCATACCAGGGAGGAGACCCTGGCTCTGTCTTCATTACTGGCCCCATCAGGGATGGGTAAGATCCCTCCTAGTCTTCTTTTCTCCAGGTTGTACAGTCCCAGCTCTCTCAGCCTCTCCTCATATGACAGGTGCTCCAGTCCCTTGATTGTGGCCCATTTTTTTGCTGGGAAGGACCAGCTTTGGCCATCAGCAGCTCTCCTCACATGCCTGAAGTATAAACTCTTGTCAGTGTTGGAAATGTGGTGCCAGACAGCTTTGTACATGTGAGCACCCGTTCGGAGTCACCTAGAGAACAGACAAAGCAATACTGGCTAATTTTAGTGTTGTTCAAGTACTAGGTGATTTCAGAATGGTTACGTGCATAATGACATCTTTAAATGAAGTGACATATTTTAATGCTGCCACTTTAGCCACTTTGTCTCAGAAGCTGCTGTGAAGCTGAAAGGAGGGTAAATATCCCTCCATTATATACTACATTTCCTCCTTGATTGGAAGCTTGAAGGCACCATGATGAAAAATAACCATTTTTCCTCACAAACTAAAGCTAGTCTCTGCACTGGTTCACAGTAGTCTGCCTCAGAGCAGGAGATAAAAGAAGCTGAGCAAGAGTTCAGCACTGTGGTGCCTTTCTCTAATACAATACCAAGCTTCCCTATAAATTAGTGTCATAAGGTGACTCAGCTTCTGCTCCACACCAGGATCTCTTTGTAGGGTTGAAGTCAGAGCTGAGACCGTGTTTCAGGTTAGCGCAGTGAGCAAAGAAGGCATGGTCACATCAGTCCTAGGTCCTAGCTGAAGAGCTGGGCCCACAACCTCCCTAGCCTGTGAAGCTGAGGCTGTGTCTGGGCTGGCAGGATTTCAGGGTAAGCATTTGTGATCTTGTTGCACACACAAAGTTACCAAGACTGCAGGTGAACTGTTCTGTCAGTTTGGGAAAGATTTCCTATTTTCGGTTATATAGATTGCAGTTAATGAGGTACTGTGATGAAAACATCATAACTGACAGTAAAGATTACAGACCGAGTGCTTCTCCTAAAATAGGTGCACTAAAGTCAAGAGCTAGCAAGTGTTTGCAATCTCAAGCATGTAGCTTGCTGACAAAGGGCAAAGCAGTTGCTCTTTCTAGTGCAGTAGTTTCTAGTGGCTTTCCTTTTGTCTGAATTCCAACCCATTGTCCCTAAAAAGCTTAACTTGCAAAACTTTCTAACTCTGCACTGATTGCTTCAAGGAATTGACTGTATGGTCAAAAAGCAACAGTGAAGTGATTAATTAGAAAGTGTTTAGTTCATTGATTTGTTATTATATGATGTGCCAACTTCTGAAGCTAATGAAGGAAACTGGCCTAGTAACTCCTTATGTCAGAAAAGAAAATATGGAAAAGACACTTCGGTTTCAAAGGGGTTTCTTGCTAATCAAGATGCCCAGAAAAAGTCCATGTTTTTTGCACTATAGCCTAACCATTTACACATCAAGTTCTTAATCTTAAAACTTCTTGACATTCTAAAATAGTACTTATATTGGGGTTTTTTTTTAATACCTGAACCCTGAGGATACCCTTGAGTTTAAATTTGAATTTTGACAATGAAGGTTAAAAGAAAAGTCAGTTTTCAAATGAAAGCCTATATCATCTGATTAGCCTGTCATTCTGGGTATTAGGAAGATTCCTATATCATTGAGAAAGAAGTCTTCCCTTGGGGAGAGGACACTGGTTTCTGGGGAGCCTATGCCTGTGTGATATCGTATTTGATAGGAAGCCTCAAACATGCAATTCAGCTAGCGTGAAATGACACTGAGAAGCAAATGATTGAACACTGAGATAGGGCCAGCTAGTGAGAATAGTCAGGTCTCAGGCCAGACAGAAGAGAAAAGCCAGAGAGGTAACACAAAGCTATTGCAAGTAAAGGAAAGATGCTGAAAAACAACTTGGTGCCTCCCAAAGAGACAGTTATGTCCTGCATAGCACCTGACTTGCCATTGGCACAGGATTCTGTTTGAGGGAAAACCACTTTGCTTCTGGGCTTCAGACTGTAAGTCAAATAAAAATACTTTAAGTGTAAAATACCTATTATTCCAGAGCAACATAATCAGGCCAATAACTGTCTGACACTGCCACTGAACCAGGTTCCTGAGGTATGAAATACTAGAATAGAAACAGGCTTGATGGGGGACACACATCTAAACATAAGAAACCACACAGATGGAAATGCAGCTCCCATGGTGGAGGCTGGCATCCTGTCAATCTGCTGCAGGTATGCTTGCTCAACCAAACCGTAAGACTGAAATAGAGTTCATAGGATTTTCTAGCACACATCAATCCCCTTAGTTTAGTCAGCAGGATCAGAAGTGCCAGAGGGAAGCACAAGGATTTTGGCTGCAAGCAATTTAAGGAATAGCATCAACAGGAAGCCTGCCCTTAATAAGGGTAGGAATGGGTTTACATGCTAAGCATTTGCCGTGCCATATTATTTTCACACTGTCAGCATAAAGAAAGCTGACTTTTAGATTTATAAATGCCTGTTGCTTTTGTAATTTCAATTGTCCGCGGTGTTGATGGTAACTAAAACTGGGGAATGCATTGCAGTATTAACTTCTAAAATCCTTTTGTCAGTTGCAGTTGCACTTTCTGATTAAGGCTGGTTGCTTTTCAGTCATTTGGGATGCACCTGTGCTCCCCTACTTTGAAAATGATTTACAACAAAATAAGGGAAGCTGCCTAAAATGCACACATTAATTCCTGTACTCTGTTATTTATCTTTAAATGCAAACATTAAAGGGAAAAAGCTTTGTACAATCTGCTAAAGTCATAGTCCTGTAACTTCATTAACCTGCCACGGCAGGACACTTGTGTGCCCACAAAGTTCTGGTGGCATTAAGTGCAGATATTACTGTTCCCCCTAAGCTGCAAATTTTGGATGCAAACTTGTATGTGAAGTCAGGCCCACATCTTGACGTATGTGACATCTCAGTGCCAGGTGCAAGGAGAGATGTTCTAACGGGACTTTCTTTAGTCTGATCAAAACCCAATTGCACACTCAAAATGCTGGACTGAAAACATGCTTTAAAACACATACAGGTGTTCTCATAAAATAAGGTGAGTTAGCTAAAGGCTGTACTAAATGTCTCCCCTTCCGTTAGCCAGCCACACTCCTCACATAGTCTTTCATTCAGTACAGAGAACTTCTTGCTGTTTTCACCCTGGTTTGCACGTTAGCAGCAATATGCTTATTTGCATAGTTCCCCTACTCTTTCATTCTGCATTTCTGTGGACTCTTAATGCATTATGACTGGCATTTTTCCCACGCTTCCTCTTGTCTGTCTTACACCTTGAGTGATGACAGGGTGAGAGATAAAGGAAAGTTGTCAGAGCATCAGTAAATTGGGATCTGTAATAGCAAGCTGGTTAAATATTCAACATAAGCAGTTGCTGCAGCACCTGAAAAGCCTGAGCAATACCAGCATAAGTCAATTGTTTCATCACTCCTCAAGATTGCTTTCAGAGGTGTGCAAAATAACTTGTGATTTAGTTAGAGTGCAGGGCAATTCTACTCACCTGTTAGCACACGGGACCATAGATGCTCCTGTTTCACCAGTGTGGTAAAGTCTTGACTGGGCTCTTAGCAGAATTCTAAGCACCGTTTGTATTTGTTTGTAGTTTAGGGCCAAACATTTGCCTGTTGCTGCAGCAGAAAGGAACAAAGGCAACAAGGTAAGAAATGGGACTTGGGGAGGTAAGTGAACAGGGTGAGGATGGGCAGGCTTTTAGCTACTTCCCCTTATCTACCAGCACGTAGTGAACCAAGCAGAGGTTTGGCACAGTTGAGCTCTCCACCTCTCTGCCTCCTCCCAGGTCAGGGACGAGCCCTGGGAAAGACTGTTTCTCTGAGGCTGCTTCTTACTGCTGCACTCTCTTGGCAAAGCCGTAGTCAAACCTTCCTCTTTCTTGCAGCAAGGTTAATCAGTCTTTCTTGTGTCCACCAGGGGCAAAAAATATATAGCCTTTTTAACAGTTTTTCATACATTTGAAGAGTGTTAATATTGATTTTCTCGTATTTCCCTTTCCCTGGCCTTTTATCCTTTAATCTGTATTTAGCCTTCTAGAATTACAGAACAGATTGGGGTTGGAAGAGACCTTCAAATGTCATCCAGTTCCAATCCCCTGCAACGAGCAGGGACATCTTCAACTAGATCAGGTTGCTCAGAACCACATCCAGCCTGGCCTTGGATGACTCCAGGGATGGTGCAACCACCACCTCTCTGAGCATCCTGTGTCAGTATTTTACCATTGTAAAGAATTTCTTCCTCACGTCCAGCCTGAATCTCCCATCTTTTAGTTTAAAACCATCACCCCGTGTCCTATTACAACAGGCCCTGCTAAAAAGGCTCCCTATCTTTCGTACAGCCCCCCTTTCAGAGCTGAAAGGTTACAGTAAGGTTTCCCTGGAGTCTTGACTTCTCCTTCATTTAGCCTTTCTGTGTCATTGTTGGTTTTCAAGCCTTTAATCTTTCTCACTCATTTGTAGACTTTCTCAAATCAGTCCACACCTTTCTTGAAGTACAGTGTCAAAAAACTTGATGCAGTGTTCCAGTTAGTATCTTGCCAGTGAAAATCAGAGTTGTTATTTGGCATGTCTTATTTATGTTTCATCCAGGTATCACTGCCTGAAATGATTTCATCTGACTTTATGCTCTAGCTCTGTATACCTGACCTGAGTGTCCTTAAATCCTTTTTAATTGCATGTCCTGATTTTAGGGTGTGACTGGGTATTTTACCTATATCCTTTAGGGGAGTTGAACTGCACCTCAGAAGCGCCTGTTTATATTGGTTCATCATAAAGAGATCATAGGCTGATCAGATAAAATGTAGGCACTCACCTCCAATGCACATGACCACTTTTGGTCAGATGAATAGCATCTTTCACCTACCAGCTTTTTGTACTTCTGGATGCTGGAGAACATAGGACTGGAAACAATTACTTGGATCATTGAGTTCTGTACCCTGCAGTCATGGACTACCAGGCTATATATATTTCTAATTCAGAAGCAACTTCACACACTATGGTATGCTGCAAGTCACAGAACTCTTCCAAATGCTCATTCAATGCATACTAAAAGACTCAGCTATCGTGCCTGAGGAAAAGAAAAAGGATGATGCACCCTGTGTTTTTGGGAGAGCACATTGATGAAACTACCCCGAATGTCCCTAAGAAGCAGACCAGGCCAACCACTACACATGAGGGTCAATGTTTGCTACCAAACTGGCAAGCAGTTGAAATTCTTTGCCAGCCTCAAATCTGGTAGTTGTTTTAGTCTCATATGGATGAACACCACACAAATAAATCAGGGTGAGATATTCCCTGTACCCTGAGACTACAAACCAGACCAGCAGGTTAAAAAAACCCACTCTTCCTGGTCTGTTACATTTGTCCCCTCCTGAAACCCTGCACCACACACACATGCACATTCATAACAGTTAAGTAGAGCCCTTCTGTGTGGTTGTCCTTTGTGTTATCTACTGTCATTATAACAAATGAATGTAAGGCCTGGAGACTGCAGGTTATTTGGAGTAGCTCAGTCAATAAAGAGGTGCAGTCCTGTGTTTATTCAGATTTTTAGGCCAAAAAAAGTTTAAGGTTTTCTCTGAACACATCGATTCATTATACTTTTTTTGCAGTATAATAAATAAATACTTTATTGCCTGCAGTGAATTGCAGGTTAATACTAAATACAAAATGCTAACACAGGAGCAATGTATTAGCATTTTTAGATGAAAATATGACATTTTATATACCCTTAAGTAAAAATATTGTTTGCTCCCTGGAGCTACCCTGACCAGTTTAATTTCCCACATCAGTACACATCATGAAGTCAAACTTCCCTACTCTTTCAGTCTACGCATAACAGTCAGACTATCAGATCCATTTTTCTTCTTACATGTTTTCAGTATATTGCTTTCTTTAGACCCCCTTTTTAATGGATATTCACATAGTTGTGATTACTGGTCTCACTTAATTTGGTTTCTGTATTTCATCAAAACATAACCAGACACCCAGTTCTGCAGTGGTAGGAGAAGGTAAAAGCTATAATGGTAGAGGCTACACAGAAGTGGTAAGGAGATGCAACCTTTAGGTAAAGCCGAATGGATTCCCATTCTTCAGGACCCCAAAGCCAGCAAAGCCCAATAGCAGGTAAAGTTTTGGCTTGAGTTAAAAATGTCAAACTGTTGCTAATCCAAGGATATCCAAGCCATGCTGCTTGTAGCCAAAGAGGGAACCAAACTTGGAGGTGTGACAACTAAAAACTGACATCAGAAAAGTGGCTTTCCCACCTTTAAGTGAAGATCAGATCACTTAGTTTCGGATAACAGGTCCCAAGGTTTCCAACTTTGTGCATGTCACCTGTAGGAATAATGCAAACTTGGTTCAGCTGAACCTGCAAAGATTTGGCTTTATATTATCTATGTCAGGATGCCTCATCCTTGCCTTGCCTCAACACTATTTTGAAAGCAGTGTGGGGTGTGGGTTTCGCCCACATTATGAATTCAGAGACAGCATTTCTCCTTCCAAAAATAAAACTTCACATCAGATTTACCTGATCTTTCTGTTGAGCATAATTATTAGAAAGCAGAAGTTGTAAACTGGCCAAAAATATTTGTCTGTCAGAAATGCTGACGAGATCCTCATCGTCATAAAGCACTTCTCAAATTGCTGCACAATTAAAGGTAGTTTCACATTGCTGCTGTAATGAATACCTGAGGAAAACTGGAAATGGCATGCTCAGAGTCCTTACAGCATGTGCCAGGCTTTCAGTGTAATTTGGCCCAAGCATATTTTTCACAAATGCTTACAAGTTCACTCTTAAGAAGAGAAAATTTGGCTTGGCTTTCTATCTTAACACATTCTTTTATTCCTAAGCCATCCATTACTAAGTAACTTTTGTCATTACAAGGCATTAAAATCTCCATTCTAGAAAATAGATAGGAGACATTTAAAACAGTGACTTTTCCACTTCAAATACAGAGAGAAAAGCAGGAATCAATCAATCAATCAGAATAAATCAATCAGTTAATAAGTAAGAGGTGTATGGTGGTGGGAGAGAGCATCAGAGCAAGAAAATCTTTTAGAGATGAGGCATACAAAACTGGCCAGCTGCCCAGCTTCCTGATGCTCTCCTAGGTTCTTGCTGAGACTTACTTGAATTCCAAATGGTTTTCTAAGCTGGTGAATAGCAGGTGCTTGCTAACCAGCTCGTAATGAGTACAGAGGTCCAACTCCATGGAGCCATTTCTCCCTGCTTTTGGCTGTCTTTTGTACTTGCGGAGACAAAGCAATGGACCTGGAAATTGGAAATTTTAA